GTTCTTCCGTCCCGGCGCACGGAGCTCCTCTGAGGCCTGTTACGTCTCATCTTCCCCTGACATCGGCAGGGAATCAACCTTACCTGTTAGACCTCAACCTCGGCCCATAAACACTGCATCGCCGCTGTCGACTCATTGGTGCACCAGAGGAGCTGAACCGCCCATGAATCCAGTAGAATTTCTGCTCTCTCCTCCCATTTATGATAAGAATCAATCAACCAAACTGTCGGATCGGCGCAAGGGAGCATGTCTCAACCCTCTCGCAGGTCTTTCTTATTCGGGGTGCTTTGACGGATGGATTTCACATCTTTTTCATTTTGTTTAATCTCCATTCCTCTGCGACTGCACCGTTGACTGACCCACGGCGGAGCAAGCAGACGTTTTTGACATCTTCTTGCTTTTGCTCACCGTCCGGTCGGAATCCCTTCAATGAGCCAGAACAGCCCATCTCCATTTTCTTTATTTCGTCTGCCTTCTCGGGGTCCAGAACTCTGTGTTTCCCGCGTCCGAATCCCGTTGTCTGACATTACGCTCGGTCCTCTGACAAGTGTCAAGCGGCGAGACCTTCTTTCTTCTCCAGCCCAAAAGAGGATTTGACTTGACCTCCCCGAGCCGGCCGAAGCCCACCACACCAGACGTCAGACCCGGGATGAGAGCGTGAAGTCTTACCTGTCAGAGCGAAGCGCTGGTAGTAGGCAGCGCGGGCTCTGAGTCGCCAAAAAACCTTCGGGCTCATCCTTGTTCAGGAGTCTGCTTTGTGATCAGTTTCTCGTTTCGATCCGGTCATCTCAAGTTTCAGGTTGGAACTTCTAGAACGTATCCTGTTCCTCCCAACTCAAGCGGTCCACAACGGACGCCGTCAAGTTCGCAAGCTACACTTTTATCGACAAGCGCCGTTCTCGTGGCAGGGGACCTCGTGGTTGATGGATCACCCTTTCCCTTTACTCTCTCTTTCTTTGGTTTCCCCTCAGTGGCAGAGACATCGTGTGGGAGGGTCACTGACAGCTGGCTGGTCTGAAGCCCGTGAAGCCTGATTTTGGTCAGTCTCAATCTAGCGTTCACTGTCACGAGGGCAGGTACTTTCTTTTACTTTTCTAGCTTTCTCTGGGCATCTGGAGTCGAGAAGCTTTACGCTTAGCTGCGTGAACGTTGTGCTGACAGCAACCACAACGGCACGTCACATCTCACTTATGCTTTTCTTATTCCTGAGCTGATGAATGTTGACCTTCTTGTCGTTCGTTATGTTGGATAGTACGAGGCCCATCCGAGGCCTTCGGCTGCATGAGGCCCGAATGATAGAGTTCTACATTCAATTCCCCTAGTCCCCGAGCCTTGTCGATGCTGGGTCGTTCTCTAAAACAATATCTGCGAAACGGCGGTCCTCCTCCCCGAATGAATCAAGCATGAGGGGCTCTCGACCTTATCGGATTTAGGCTACCGAAGAGAAATCAAGCAAGCCATGCCTCGGTCCACTCGATCCTGCCTCCCGCCCTTTGGATCTCCGATAAACGACATCGATCAGGCTACATGCTGGATGCGCCACTAGCCAGGGGAAATCCAACGGGATGGCGTTGTGGAGTGGTCTTCCCGATGGCTTGGCTGCCGCATCCTGGAGACCTGCGACCGTGCTCCTCCGGGAAGGGAGTCGTGTTTCCCAAAACGGACAGACTTGCGATCTGGACAGTCCACCTCGACCTGCGCCTCAGGAGATCCCATCGACCCCAGATGCATCTTACACGCCAAGGGACACCTTCGGGGACGTCTCTTGCTTACTCGAGTTGATTCGAGAGATGCGACTGGCCCGGACGTTGGGAGCTATGGGACGAAAGTGAGTTGATGTGGAAACGCCAACAACGGCCGAGGCGGAGGTTTGCACTAATCGTCATCTCAACAACAGCCCAACGGCGTGGGTTGACGTGCAGAAACTCTCTGTATAAAGGTTGCGGCCAGACCCTTTGACTTTATTCATCTCATCATCATCATCACCACATCTCATCTACAACACGCAGCACTCAGCTCGCTTACATTCCAAGCCCCGGTGGCAGTCATTCTCTTCCGCGACGCTGTATCTCAGTCTGCTCTGTGAGCCATTCTCTTCGACCTTTTCTCAAATCCATCACGATGAAGTTCTCCGCCATTCTCGCCCTCGCGTCTATCGCGGCTGCGTTCCCCACGCTTTCCGAGCCCGAGCTTGATGAGCGTGACATTCTTGAAATCGAGGCCCGCGATATCGAAGCCCGCCAGCGCGGCCGTGTCGGTTCCACCGCCAAGGAGTTCTCGACTGGCGGTTGCAAAGACGTCATTATGGTCTTTGCTCGTGGCTCTACCGAAATCGGCAACATGGGTACCATTTGCGGCCCTCAAACCGCCAACAACGTCAAGGGTCAATTCTCGAGCGTGGCCGTTGAGGGAGTCGACTATGCCGCTGGTCTCTCCACTAACTTCTTGCCTGGCGGCGCCGACCCCGCTGGTGTTGCGGAGATGAAGAAGATCATTGGCGAAGTCAACAGCCAGTGCCCCAACTCCATGATGGTCGTCGGCGGCTACAGCCAAGGTGCCGCCGTCACTCACCGCGCTGTCGAGGACTTGCCCCAGGCCCAGAAGGACCAGATCGTCGCGGCCTTCATGTTCGGCGACACCCAGAACACCCAGGACAAGGCTCAGATTCCCAACTTCCCCAAGTCCAAGACCAAGATCATCTGCGCCCAGGGCGATGCCGTCTGCAAGGGAACCCTCACCATTCTGCCGGCTCATCTGTCCTACGGCAACCAGGCTGGCAACATGGCCGACTTCATCAACCAGAAGCTCACTGCAGCTGGCGCGCAGAGGCGCAAGTAGACGCATATCACGATTGTCATGTTTATGAGGCGGAACTAGGGGGAACATTTCATGAGTATCCATGTACACACTGTGGCTTTGCATGCATTGAGCGGCGGCCTTATTTTTTCTTCTTGTTTCTACTTCTCTCTACAGGCATAAAGAGATATCCATTTCTACAGTTCACATATTTGGGAAAGGCATTTGAGTGTGTTTTGAAACAGTGCAATAATTAGCTACCACGCCTCCTGGATTTGGTATTCTGGCGACGGAATATCCGGTGAGAGCTTGGGTTCGCCATGGTACTTTACCTGAGGCTGGGTACAGATTCATGGGAGATGGGCAGCCAAGACGCGCCCCATACACTCGTTGATCGATGTGTAATAAAGAAGAAAATTCTCCGAACCTTGTGCTCCATCTTGAAAAATGTGTGCTGTGCTCTGTGACAGTGAATGAATGAAGGGCCCGGCATTTCGGGATTCAGAAGGACGGGGTTATGCTGGCGACGGGCAGGCGACGGGCAGGAGACGAGGAGGCGGAGGAGGACGTTGACGTACAGTGCTTACGTAAGTCAGCATTGTGGTGACACTGTACGTACCTCTGGGATATCCGGCCCTGCCGCGCCTAATGACTCAGGCAGAGGCACAGCTCGTCGCACTGTGGTGCGGCATCTTCTGACATCCCGCTGCTTTACCTCCATCAACCGTCAAACCTTCAACTCCTCTGTCTCCCCGATGCCTTGTTCGATTTTTCATCTCCGGTTCGCACTTCGAAGCACATCAGATGGGATGAAGGTATCATCGATTCTCCCGTCGGCAATGCATAGAGGCGCTCTGCTGGAAATGATAAACACATGCCGACGGCGCCGGCAGCGATTAACCTCCATCAAAGGCCACCATTCCTCTTCAAGGCGGCCATGAGAATTGTGTGTGCGTGATACTCCACCAATGTGCGACGTTGCGACAAAGGGTATTGCCTGTTCAGCTTTCGCCCGAACTTTCTGCCCTCGTATGACGCTCGTCGGAGAGGGATAGGCTGGAGCGTGGCCTTACACTCCCAGGGCTGGCCGGGTGAAAGTCTGAAGACTCCAGATGGCATCCGTGCTCGACCTTTGCCATTCGCACCTCGGACGCCTTGTTTTCTCCGGACGCACGGGGCCTCGATGTTGCTTGCTGTGGGATCCGCGGATCAACGTGGACGGGAACGGGGGGGAACATGATTGTCACCAATACGCGGAGCCGCCTAGCAGAATTTATTCCATCAGCCACCCGTTGCGCCGATCTACCTAAACAAGACTTCGAGATGGAACAAGGCCAGACAGTTCGGGTCCGGTTGACCGGTTCGCGGCTAGCGACGCTTCGAGCAGTGTGTCCGAAGCCAAGCCATGCGTTGGACGGAGTTCATCCCTGGCGTCAGCTCGTTGCTTTCTTGGCGCCGCTGCTTTGGAAGGTGAGTGAGCGCAACCTTAAGCTTTCGCCCATCACCACATGCACCGCACGTGGGGAAAAGACTTCACTGGCAGCTGGCAGATGACGGCGTCGAGCTTCTTTTCGAACTCTAGAAGAACCTTCGGTCGACTTCAATCAGAATGGCCTGGCCGCTCGATCTAATCAATCGAGTCCGAGAATGCACACTTGCACTAGCAGCAATGCCCACCACAAATATCCATCAATGACCAGCGAGAACCCCGGCCAGTGTGCCCACCACGTGGGGAGATCAACACGGGATAATGGTACCAACGGGGAATCCGCCCGCTGATTTCTGCCCTGGAGAATCGTCGCTGATTGATATCTTTAGCCACCGATTACGCCTGCTCCCTCTATGTAATTTCGCCAGTTTTCCTTGGCAGCCCACCTTTGCGCGAGATGCAGGACGTTAATGACGAACTCGGTGCCCGCTGTTTCTTCTCCATTGCCGCTCCCCATGGGTTTTCCTCTCCTGTCATCGAACTTGGCCGGGGAAACACCAGAATGGCAGTGCGCATCGTCGAACTCTCTGCTCTGGACGTGAGGCCTCGTTGAGAAAATCGGATGATCTCGAGTGCTGCGTTCAAATTTGCTGCACCCTTACGATCTCCGTAGGATCCGAACCGATGCGACCGCTCATTTTTCGCACGGAAATGATCCATCACGCAAGAAGCGACTCTTGCAATTGTCACTCGCTCAATTAATGCCGCCGCTACGATGAACGAGAAACCAACGACTGAACCACCGACCGTGGGCGATGCGCCGCGGCCCGGTCCCGACGAAGCCCCCGACAGAGGGCGGTGGCTGGGCGCTAATTCGAGGCGCGATGCTGTGATGTGGTGCAAGAGTGTATTTTACGAGGTTGTCCTAGGCCGAAAGACATTGCCGCCTTCGAAGAATGGCCGCATTATTCCACTACAGCTGGACCAAGATGCGCCCCTAACGGACGAACGACGAGGCGGGCATCCCTTCCTTTCGAACACCATCCGAACTTCCCGATACACTGTTTACGACTTCATCCCGAAACAACTCTTCTTCCAGTTTTCCCGAATTGGCAATTTTTATTTCCTCTGTGTGGGCGTCCCGCAGACCGTGCCTGGCCTTTCTACCACGGGAAACTTTACGACGATTTTGCCGCTACTTTTCTTCGTTCTGGTCACTGTCGCAAAGGAAGGATATGACGATTTCAAGCGCCACCGGCTAGACAAGGTGGAGAACGCGGAGACAGCGCGTGTGCTCAAGCACTCGAAACATCGCAACACTAGCTCGCAGACCTGGCAGTCTAAGCTTCGAAGCACTCTCCTGGGAGGCTCCCAAGTACTAGGCGCCGGCCAAGCAGTAGATGATGGGCCATGGATAACAACGAGATGGTGTGACATCGAGGTTGGCGACCTCATCAACTTACGAAGAGACGATCCGGTCCCTGCCGATATCGTACTGCTCCATGCCGATGGCGAGAATGGCCTTGCTTATATCGAGACGATGGCCCTTGACGGCGAGACCAACCTCAAGAGCAAGCAAGTTTCGGCTGCACTGGAAGGACGCGATTCTGTCGAGAAGATCGTGGCCTGCGATGCCGAATTTGTGGTCGAAGACCCAAACCCTGATCTTTACAAGTTCGATGGTCGAGTGACTGTCAATGGAAAGTCGCTACCACTGACTTCCGCCGAGGTTATATACAGAGGCAGTATTCTGAGAAATACGGCGTCCGCGATTGGCATCGTTGTCAACACGGGGGAGGAGTGCAAGATTCGCATGAATGCTAATCAACACCCCAAGGCCAAGAAACCCGCGTTGGAGACCGTAGCCAACAAGATTGTCGTTTCCCTGGCGCTCTATGTCATTATTCTTTCTGTCGGCTGCTCCATGGGATATGTATTGTGGCAGCGGTCGCAGGAGAGAAGGACATGGTACCTGAGTGGTGCTGAAGTCAAGTTCTACGAAATCATCATTGGTTTTATCATCCAGTTCAACAATGTCATTCCTTTGGCATTGTACGTCAGTCTCGAGATCGTCAAAGTCGGACAGCTACTCATGCTCAATTCCGATGTCGAGATGTACCACGCCGAAACGGACACTCCAGCTCGATGCAATACGAACACCATCCTCGAGAACTTGGGCCAAGTCGGCTACATCTTCACCGACAAAACAGGCACACTGACGGAAAACGTGATGAAGTTCCGCAAACTGAGCATTGCCGGCACAGCTTGGCTGCACCAACCGGACGTCGAAGTTGCAGATGGCGATAGCGAAAACAACAGCTCTGTAGACACCCTGTTTGAGGCTAAGGGGATCCCGCGCATTTCAACCCAGCACATTCGAACCGATGCCATCGTAGACGACTACGTTCAATCTCCAGCGACTCTCGGCAGACCATCGATGGCTCGCTCACGAGCGCCGTCTACGCGAAGATCGTCTTCCCAGTGGAGATCCACGGGCCGTCCGGACCATGTGCAGCCCGACGTCACTACCAGCGATCTTCTAGAGTTCATTGCCCTGAGGCCTCATTCTCTGTTTGCGAGAAGGGCAAAAGACTACATCCTTGCAATGGCACTCTGTCATACCTGCCTCCCGGAAATCCGCAACGGTGAGGTCGAATATCAGTCTTCTTCTCCAGACGAGCTGGCCATGGTTAAGGCAGCACAAGAGCTCGGCTATACTGTTGTTTCGCGGACTTCGTCAAACATCACCTTACGACAGAGCTCGGAAGCCAGTGATGCAACCAAACACATGACATTCCAGATCTTGGATGTCATCGAGTTCAGTAGCCATCGGAAGAGGATGTCTATTGTCGTGCGGTATCCCGATGGTCGGATTTGCATTATCTGCAAAGGTGCGGACTCGGTGATCTTGCCGAGACTCAAGATGGCTAGCATGGCGTTGCAAAAGGCCCAGGATGTGAGGCAAAGCGCGGACCTTGAACGCGAACTTTTGCGCAAAAGTGAACAGCATGAGCCGAGAATCAGCATTGGTGGTCGCGCTAGCATGTCTTTGCGAAGAAGCATCGGAATCGCACGCGGTACCCCAGGCCCGAGTGTTCGGCCCCCTATGGACCGCAGCCAGTCTTTCGAGACGAGCAAATTGCGCAAGTCGAGCGACTTCTTGCGGCCGTCCATCAACATCCGCACGACTTCTTTCGAAGCTTCGGGGGGTTCTTCTCCCACTTTGCCATACCAAACGCCCGAAAAATTCGCCTTCCTTGACGAACCCGCCATCGCCGACGACTCGACCATTTTTACCAGATGTTTCAAGCATCTCGACGATTTTGCCACCGAAGGCCTACGGACGCTGCTTTTCGCGCAAAAGTTCATCTCGGAGCAGGACTACCTCACCTGGAAGAAAGCATTCGACGCCGCATCTACCAGCTTGACGGATCGCCAAGACAAGATCGAGGCTGCAGCGGAAACGATCGAGCAGTCCTTCAACCTCGTCGGTGCTTCGGCGATTGAAGACAAGCTTCAACAGGGCGTTCCGGAAACCATTGACAAGTTGCGGAGGGCGAACATCAAGATCTGGATGTTGACAGGCGACAAACGTGAAACAGCCATCAACATTGCCCATTCAACCCGCATCTGCCAACCAGTGTCCGATCTGTACACTCTGGACGTCACTAAGGGAGACCTTCAGGGCCAGCTCGTGGCACTGTCCGAAGATTTGCACTCTGGCTGTATCCACAGTGTTGTCGTTATCGACGGGCAGACCCTGGCGACGATCGAGAAGTCGGACGACTTGACAGCCCAGTTCTACTCGGTGGTCCCCTTTGTCGACTCTGTCATTTGCTGTCGAGCCTCTCCGGCGCAGAAGGCGTTGATGGTCAAGACTGTTCGCTCCCAGCTACGAAAGCTGAAAGGTCGAATGGGCCACGGTCTTACACTTGCTATTGGTGACGGCGCCAACGACTTGGCAATGATCTCTGCTAGCCACGTCGGCGTCGGCATCTCTGGAAAGGAGGGTTTACAAGCTGCTCGAGTAGCCGACTATGCCATCGCTCAATTCAGATACCTTCAGCGACTACTTCTCGTGCACGGTCGATGGAACTACGTGCGTACGGCCAAGTTCATATTGTGTACTTTCTGGAAGGAGATGTTCTTCTACCTCCCCACGGCCCTGTATCAGCGCTACAACGGTTATACGGGTACTTCATTGTACGAAATGGCTAGTTTGACTGTCTTCAACACATTGTTCACCAGTCTGTGCGTCATCTGTCTTGGGATCTGGGAACAAGACCTCAGCGCAGATACCTTGCTTGCCGTTCCCGAGCTTTATGTGTACGGTCAGCGAAACATGGGTCTAAACCTGGCCAAGTATGCTGGCTGGATGCTGTCAGCGGCAATCCAGGGCGTGTTGGCGTACTGGGGCGTCTGGGCGGGTTACGTCTGGTTTGCGCACTCGAGTGACCAGGGCCTTTACGCCGTTGGCAACTTGGCGTTCACTCTTGGCGTTGTCTGGATTAACTACAAGTGCTTGTAAGTGGAAAATGCACACTTCTTTTTGTCTGAAGGTGAAGAATGAAGACTAACTCTGTCGCAGCATTCTCGAGACGCACCACAAATCGGGTGTCGTGATGGGATGCTTCCTCCTCACCTTCTCCGGATGGTGGGCTTGGCAAGGTTTCCTCTCGTCGATCTATACCCGCGCCCCGTCAATCTACGCCGTACGCGATGGTTTCTCAAAGACCTTTGGTCGGGATTGGACATGGTGGCTGACGTTGATTGTAATGGTCACTCTCTTCATCCTCATGGAGACCATTTTCCGCACCCTTCAGCGTTCTCTCATCCTCGCGGGGATGTGGAGGTGGCCTTGGGTTCGTAAAGAGGACGACGTTTGTGCGGATGAGTGGCGTTTGGAGCTTTGGCAAGAACTCGAAAAGGATCCTATTGTGAGGGAGAGGCTGAAGAGGTTAGCCAGTGATGAGGAGGAGGCGGAGGATTGCGAGGAGGATTTTGTGGTTGGCGAGTCTGAGAGGGCGGGTTGAGTCATTCCTTTGCAAGAGATACCCCTTCTGTTCTATGCACTTCCTCAATAGCTTGAAAATATGCAAGCTGCCTTATCCAACTGAACAAAAGACATTCCAGGGGTGTTCGGAGGAACAAGTCATGTATTCGCAACCTCGAGTCTAGCGCGGAGGTAAACCCATCAAAAACCCGATGGCAACTAGGTCCTGGGTAGTGTACAGGTGCTGTCTCCAACCCGGCGATGCCGGGATAAGGCTCTCCATACCGGATCCGAGGGCCCCATACGACGGAGCATCGGCCCGGGTGGGAGCTTACAGTGCCGTGGCAGAGGACAGTGCACCATACTCACAACCAATCATTTACGCCAAATTACGACAAGCCGGGACTGAATTAGTCCCATTCCCATCTGACGGGTGAAGTTCCCAGGAATTTTGGTTGGTCGCACGGCGCCATAAGCACTAAAACTTGCCATCTTCCCCCCTGTATCCATCCTGAAGGTACAAAGTTGCAAGCGCCACGAGGTAGGTACATAAAGAGCATCCTCTGCCGGCAAACCCGTTTCAATTGCAGCAGAGCTTTGGTGCACACGTAAATTCGGCTTCAAGACATCATGCTTAGCATTCTGGGGCCTGACGATGGCTTCGTGCCCTCAGTGGCACTGCTCACCGCTATCCCTGTGATGCTGTACCTCGCCTATCTCATCAGATCGCCCGTCACCATGGACATTAAAGAGCCGCCTCTATTACGCCCGACAGTTCCCTTCATCGGCCACATCATCGGTATCTTGCAACACTCGTGGCAATACCTTGACCTCGCCTAGTAAGATTCTCGTCAATCCCCCTAATGCATGGCACAACTGATACTGAATGTCTGTGTCCAGTGCAAAGTCGAAAGCTCCCATGTTTACTCTACCAATGCTAGGCGGCAAGATGTACGTGATAACGGAACCCGACCTCGCACAAGCGGCACTCCGCAACCGCTCCCTCAGCTTCGATCCGTTTTTGAGGGACCTCATTAAAGGGATGGCTGGCGCCAGCGCGCAGACTATGAAGGCGTGGGACGATCCCGCGTTTTACGGCCCTTGGGTGAAGAGTATCTACGGGGGCATGGCGGGGCAATCGCTGCTTGGGCTCAACATCTCTGCCGTGGGAGGGATTGCAACTGCGTTGAACGAGATTGGTAACGACGTCGAGGTTGCGGATTTGTACATGTGGAATCGGGAGTTGTTCACCCTAGCTAGCACGGATTCGCTGTATGGGAGCAAGAACCCACTGAGGGCGGATAAGAAACTCATCGAGGCGTACTGGTAAGTTCCTTTAGATGATACTCTGACTTGAGATGGAGTGGTCTGACATTGAGTAGGGACTACGAAGCAGACGTCAACAAGCTCATGCTGGGCATCTTCCCCTCCCTCGTCGCACCAAAAGGCTACCGCGGCCAAGCCCTCTTCCAAGGAGCCTTTAAATCCTTCTTCGACTCCCAACTCCACGAGGACGACGACGTCCCATCCCTCGTCAAAGATCGTCGGAGACTGAGCATGAGCTTCGATATGACCTCAGCAGAAGCCGCCAAGATTGAGTTGATCTTCCTCCACGGCGCCATCTCGAACACCTTTCCCTCATTCTACTGGTTCTTCACCCAAGTGTTCAGTAAGCCTGTGCTTCTTTCGAGACTTCGCGAGGAGGTGCGGGGCGTCATTGAGGAGAAGGGGCGGGACGTAGTCGATGGGGAAGAGAAGAGGGTGTTTGTGCTGCACATTGAAAAGCTGGAGGAGAGGTGTCCACTGCTCATATCGTGTTTTCGCGAGACGCATCGGTTGTATGCTGCGGGTGTTCTCGCGAGGAAGGTCATGGCTGATACGACTATTTCTGATGGGAAGATGAGCTTCGTCGTGAAGAAGGACTGGCAGATTTCTGCACCGCAGAGGATTCTACAGACTGACTCTGGGATCTGGGGAGATGATGCGATGGAGTTTATTGGGGATAGGTTTTTGAAGGTTGCGGAAGAGAAGGGGGAGGCCGTTGTCAATGTTGCTGTCCGAGGGTTCCTTGGTTTTGGGGGTGGAAAACATATTTGGTAAGTTACTTGCCCCCACGATACGTCTGCCGATGAGTGTGTTGAAGCTGACCCTGGCAAACAGCCCCGGCCGGTACTTCGCGAGCGGCGAGCTGTTGGGCTCCCTTGCGCTGCTAGTTGCTGGATTCGACGTAACCAGTTCAGATGGGCAGGCACTTGTGGTCCCAAAGGTTACGGCTGTACCTCTGACCGGCTCTTTTGGAAAGCCGGTGCCGGGCAGTGACCTCAAGGGGCGGATGAGCAGGAGAGCGGGGTGGGAAGATGTCAGGTGGGAAGTTGCTGCATAGTTGATCATCGCCTCCAGGGAAGTAAGGCTGAAGCAGGAATTGGAACAAAGGGCCTGGCTAAAAGGGCATAATTTATTTTCTTACATCAGGCCTTTCTATGCATGTGGTTGTGTTCAATGTACATGATCCTCCCTGTCATTCGTTTCTTTCCAGTTTCCAAAAGAATTCTGAGGCATCTAGTAAGCACTCCCCGTCTCTTCCATTTGACGCACCAAAGTCTCCTTAGCATTTCTTCTTCATAGTAGAAAGACCTCTTCCTCACCGTATCGCAAAGAGTATCGGATTCTTTGCGAATTCCAACAACTCTCTCAAATATTCTCTTCAACGGCATGCACTACTATAGAAGTAACTAGATAAAAGTTTGCGACATGAGTCCCGGGGCTTTTGTTTAGATAGCAAAGACCACATCAAACCGTGGACAGATAAAGCCCACCAACTATCCAGAGGATCCCTATGTTCTTGCCTAATTCTTCCCGTCCGCTTCCTAGCCTTCGCCAAACTCCCACCTACTTGAATTCCACCGAAACATTAGTTCCAGAATATTCCGCTCTCATACAGAAAGAAAACAAGCTAACCCAATATAATGGTCTTCGAGGTGAAGTATTACTTTGTGGTGCCCTTGAAGGGTCTGGGGCGTAGGATATGACTAGGTAAGCATTGAATTTCTTCCTCGAGTTGTCCATTCATGTATTTACAGATGCGTCGTCTGCTAAAGGCTTGTGCTCTGGCAACCTTACACAGTATTACCCATCATAACTATCAACCCCTAGATATTTACTATCCTCAATCCATTGCCTTCCATTCCGGCATGCTCTGTCTTCACACCAAAGAAGGTGTTTTGTTTCATGATCCGGATTCGAACCATAGGTGTTCGAATCGAGAAGCGCGTCAACATCAGGCACTTCACCGCACCTATTCGCTCTCTTACCGAATGTGCCCAACGATTTTCGGGATAAAAAATACGTGAGCATTGAAACGATGCCACTGGTATGTTGTGTCACAACCTCTGCATCCAACCTTCTGACAATTCTCAGTGCCATTTGTGAGGAAGTGAGTCGTAGACGAGTTCGATGTTTGATTTATCGTGAAACTATATGGCCTTTGACAAATGGCAAGATTGGCATGATATACCCATAACGTCACTATAAAGATGCCATTCTTCACGAAGTTTCAACTCACATGAGCGCCCTGACACTGCCCACCCCTAATTTCTGCAGTTCTGGTCATCAGGGCAATTCGTGATATGATAGCGCCGAGATCTTGAGGTCTACCTTTCGGCCTACAAACGACTTGATACGTTGCCGAAATTACTCTAGCCAATCAGTGGCTGGATCTGTGTCTAACCTGGCTCTTCACGTGGTGGCTGTGGCGTATACGTCCAGTGACGCCCAGCACGTGGCGAGTGTATTAACGAGATGGGTATGAAGTGGCTTCTATGAATCATTCAGATTAAGCGCTGCGAGAAAGGACTCAAGTCTGGAATGGTTGTAACTGTCAGTCCGTACCTTGAGGCCGTCCGGCGTCTGATTCGTAGTGCCGGTGGTGGTGTACCAATCATGATACAGAACCAACGGAGCTTCGTTGACCTCAAGCGGGCCAGTCACAATGTTTGCGACTGCCTGTCTTCGATATGTAATATCTGCACGATATGGCAAAGACCTGGTCTTGAACCCCCGGATCGGTAGCATCTATGTTGATGGTATGAGAGCTTCACAGTGCAGCACTGTTTCCATCCAAACTCACACGATGTGCCATAGGGCATGATTCCAACCCCTGTGTCTGTCAGAGGTGATGTTGTGTAATCCATAGCGGACGCAAGTCCGTCGCCGCGAGTATGGTTGGATTCATCACCGCAGCTTCTGCGACGCAAACGTACATTATTCAAACCGCGGTGAAGACTAAAAGCCTGCGCAAATCCTCGTTGGGACAGGGGGCATTCTTCGACTGCAGGGCCGAAGCAAACAATCAACTTGCGGCACAGAGCCAATGAGCCAGGATAAATGGTCGGAGCTTCCCTCAACGGGTGTCGGAGAGGGGTAACGGATCGTAAAATGACATGGCCTTGAAGCAGATTCAATTTACCGTACGGCCGAGACCTCAGGTGGGGCGGAATGACATGTCCGTAGGAGCTGGCGAGGGATGCTGCGTCCTTGGTATTGTCTCGCCGTGGAATGCAGCAAGTGCTTCTCGAAGGAATTTGATCGTCTCTGGATGCGTTCAGCTGGGTGTCCTCCGACGTTGGGGCACACCTGAAATCACAGCCACAGTCTCGTTTCGTCACGTCTTGCGTTCTCACATAGAAAATGAGACACCAATAAGTATCAAAAAGCTTTTTGAATAACAAAAACAGAACTTTTACTTTGGTGGTGAGACCTGTGAAATCTAAACTTAGACATACGACATCTTGAACACCTATCTCTTTTCGATGTCCGCATCGTTCCCATTCACGACGGGCCTCTCGGCCTCTGTATCCTTGGCCGGCTCGGGCCTGCCGACAATCTCTGAGCTACGGAAGAATACCACCACAATCGTAAGAGAGGTGATGCCGAGCGCAAAGTTCATCCAATTAGCGGCCCGCAGCCCGTCCAACGACGGTTGGTCCCACTCCAACACCGGGCCCGCTGCCTCAACCGATACACCCCTCGCCTTGGCCATGA